TAAACTAATTCCAATCATCTTAATGTGTGAGTTCTCGAAGACAAGTTTTAAAGGTTTAGGCCCAACTAGGTAATGACTCACGACTAAGTCATATTCACTAAATCATAAAAAGGATGTCATGGAGATATCAAGTGCGCCTAAGTCGAAAATTTAACTAGTAAGTGCTAATCCCCTGCGCCTTCAAGTCAATTTTATTCTCCATACACTTTACTGCATCTAGTTGAAAGATGACGATACTCCTCTTGCCATCTCTGTTTCTCGCTTCATAGTTACTTGCAATTAATTCTACTATCCACAAGAAGGAGAGAATAAGCTATCAACTATGACAGCTCCTGAAGTAACTTAAGCGCGAATTAGGCCAAAGAGTCTAATTCAACACAATGCTCTTACAAGCGATGCGTCAAATTCTTAGAGTCATAACAACCTTGTCAACCTTGATCTTTTCATTACTATGCTGCAACGTCAGCGCTTAGTGGTAAACATTATTTCAAAATGTTAGCTTAGCTAAGGAATCATACCAAGAAGCCCCTCCTCATGTCTCACACTCAAGTGTGGAAACAGTAAGTGTTCAGACTAAGACAAGTCGGCATTGCTAATAGATTTTGCAGCCACTAAGCGCTAACCTTTTCACTTAGTGTTAATAGATTTTGCAGCTTCTAAGCGCTAATCTTTTCACTTAGTGTTAATAGATTTTTGCAGCTTCTAAGCGCTAATTTTTTTACTTCACGTGATATTTCTATGTACACTATTATAGTGCATGAAATTTTGCTCAATCCACTCCCAATAATTGGGTAGAGAGCAAAACACTGCTCATACTGGCTACTCGTCTTACACTTAATGACTAATTTATTTAAGCTCGCATTTCTTGGGTGACGTGACTCTTGAATGTTACTTCATCCAGTGATGTAACATTATTTACAAATCAAATTACAAAGTCAATCCGCGCAGCTCATTAGTCAAGATCATATACTGATCTATTGAGGGCTTACTAATTTCATAACTCCAAAACTCGCCAACCAAAACTATGTAGCGTGCCGCTAACTATAACGCACACATTAGTTTTTATTGTGCCAAACAAGGCAACAAAAACACAGCGACTTTGAGTCATGTTTCCTTACTTTGGCTCAATTAAGGTTTGACCTAAAGTCTCCAAGACTTTGCTCATCTAAAGAATGGGATTAGTTTGTTCACATTTGAACATCTCTACTAAGTCTAGGTCAACCAAATTAACTTCCATAAGCTAAATCAATTTAGAGAGAAATTCGCATTAGGATTAATTTGATTAGCATAATATAATTTTGCCGCAAAAATCTAAATTAAATAGTGACAATATTACACAAGTCGCAAGATCGAAAATCCGCTATGCTCGTAATCATCTCTTGCGCCACAAGTGACAATTATCCAAAATTTAATTTAATTTATGCACAAAATATTGACCATCATGTAAAAAAAAAAAAAATAGTCTTCCGTACTATTTTCTAATACCAAGTCCTAAGCCTCCATTCTATTCCCCTCTCCAGGGCCCATCCTAATCCGAAGAAGATTATAAATTCTCTCTCCATCTCCCAAAATAAATACAAAATTAATGGATCCCACCACCATCTCAATTCCAATTTCTCCTTCTATCTTTCAAAACAAACTGAGTCCAAGGGAGCAATAGATTGAGGCGGCCAGCCACCCCCTCAAAGTTTCAAAAATTCTTCCTATTATAGTATTAATTAAAAATATTTTCAAAATATATTAGTTCTACCCTAAGAATACTTTGGAAAATTTAATAACCATCCCATAAATTATTAATTTTTTTAAAATATTATTAGTACTGTAGGTATTAATGTACAATTTTTTTAGTGGCATATACACCTCGTTCATAAATTATAATCTTAGTCCTATATATGTTTCCAATAATGATGATAAAAATATTTTTTATTTTCATAAAATTTTCAACATTTTACAGAAGATATAAAATTTAATTCTGAGTCTAACGGTACCAACCATGCTTAAAACAAAGCTATAACGAATAAATTATGGCCAATTAACGCAATTCAGAATTAAAAACAAACAAATAGAGCCTTAGAGCCAAGCCAGGCGGAAAAAATGGCTCGGCTCGCCGCCGCTCAGCGCAACTCGGCGCGAGTCGGCTCAACGCGGCGCGACGCATGGCGCGCGCGTGGCTACGCACGTGGCGCGGCTCGAAGCGGTGCGGCTAACGCGCGCGCGTGGAAGGGAGGGGATAGCTCGCGCGTGGGAAGCGCCCCTAGCGCGTCCCAGCGCGTGAAAGCGCGTGGTGGCACGTGGCGCTGTTGGGTGGCGTCATACAGCGCGTGAATCACACGCGCCGCCTTCCCGGGTGTTTTCTGGTCCGATTTTTGTACTGTCGGACTCCATTTTTCACAATAAAAACATTTATGGCATTAAAAATGACATTTAAACAACATAAAAACGAGGTATATCACTCTCTCAATCTAATGGAGTTAAAATGCAAAAAACCGTGCACTTCATCTTCCTCCTCCATTAATATTCATGCATATACATGTATATATATTTATATAAAAAATAACACATATTTTAATGCAGAAAAATAAGCACGAAAATACCCATATTTATGGCTCTGATACCAATGTAAATCAAAGTATAAAAATGCAGCGGATAAAATATTTAGATCATACCTTTAGATGATAGAACCTTGTGGGTAAATCACGTGCTTCCAAAATCTGATAAACCAACCCAGCAGTGAAGTGATATTACAGAATGAATATCACCCACACAAATCACAGTGCAAATGACTTGATCGTTGTTTTTGGGTGAGAGTCAGTATATGGGTAAAACTCAGATCATACGTTGTTTCTCTCTTTTTCACCCATAACCCATATACCAGATATATAATATGTTATTATTATCTATCCATATCAGTTAATGGAGATAATATCTATATCCTTAGTGGTTATCCTAATTAGGTTTGAATTCAATTTCAAAACCTATTTGGATAAGATTCAAATTCAAATACAAATGGTCATGCCACATGGGCGCCCATTACTAACACTGCTAAATTTGAATCCGTCCAAAAAAGGTTAGAAATATCTTATATTTGCGCAATTTCTATAAAAGGTTTCTAAAAAAGGTCTTATATTTGCGCAATTTCTATAAAGATGAATACAGTCAAGGTTTGACCTGCTAAATTTTAATTGTGTTAATGAGCAATATCTATAAATTTGTTAATGAGCAACGGTTAGAAATGATCAGATTTGACCTGCTAAATTTAAATGCACCGTAAATTGAAATGAATTGGGTTTCACTTTATTACAAGTAAATGGAGAATGAATCAATTCTCTGAAAAACTACATCCAGGAATAATTTTCTGCGTAATTCGGATACACATTTAAGATTCAATCAAAACGGTATACTTGCTTGACTAAGTTTTGAGATGCTATATACTTCAATTCAATTCACAATATAAGCAAAATAATGATTGAAATATATATTGAGGAAAGTTTAATGCCAAACAAAAATTTAATTCAAATGCATAACTTACATATCTACCTAATAAATGCACCTCAAACATATCATAAATCGAAATTAATTGGGTTTCGCTTCATTACAAAATAAATTCTATGACAAACTACATCCAATCATAATTTTCAACTTAGTTTTGATACTACATCAAGAATCAATTAGAAAAGTATAGTTGTTATGAGACGCTATACTTCAATTCATAATGTAAGCAAAATTACCCATTGAAATATAAGTAAGAAAAATCTGTAATGACAAACAAAACTTTAATTCAAATGCACAACTTACGGTTCTACCATCTATGATGTGCTTTTCCCTAACAACTCTTTTTGCAGCAGAGGGATCAGCAAAGACAACAAAACTGAAACCACGAGCACGCCCTGTGTTCTGATCCTTCATTATCACAGCTTCAACTACCTCACCAAAAGTTTGGAAATACTCTCTCAGACGGTCTTCGTTCGTGTCCCAAGAAATCCCACCAATGAATAACTATCCAGGCTCCATTTCCATCCTGCAACCAATAATCCCACCAATTGAATTCAAAAACAAATTCATATCCACAAATTCAAACTTTACAAAGATCAATCAATCCATCATCAACACAAAACCAAGTATAAAACTATAAAACCAGATCTAAAGAGCAACATGTAATTGACTGGAAAACATCAACATATGTGATTCAATTCCCACTTCTTAAATTTCTATGAAAACATAAAAACCAATCATATCCAACGTAAAACATCATAATGTAGATTAAACAAGGACAAGCATACCTTAGCAAAGAATCTAGTAGAAAATTGGAGACTTGTAAGATGATTGAGGAAATGGGTATTCTTGGAATCAATCGAAAAGCATCTGTTCTTTCACAGATCAATAATCGATCAGCAAAGGATCGAGAATTCCTAAGCAAAGCAAAGGAAAGAATTTAAATTTAGCTTGAAATTGGGAAGGGAAAAAAAAAGGGAAAGATCCACAACAACCCAGAATTGTGTGGCATGCAAAGAGAGCAAAAATTACCAATTGATGAAGACCCAGATGAGAGAAAGAGAGAATCTAAGATCTGAGAGGAGGCATAACAAAAAGAGGGCGAAACATATCACAAGAAACATATCAGCCTTGGATGTAAATAGCCAGTCCATTGATTTCCCAAGGAAAGTTTGAAGCCAGTTGAAACCTCCAAATTCCCGCACTCATCCAAATATATATAAAGAAACAAATTACAAGCAACCCTACAAGCAAGACCGAATACAACAAAACTAATCCCCCCACTCTCATCGTCTTCGTCATCCTCATCGTTCACCTCCGACCTCGACTTGTCAGACTCTTCTTCATCAGCTGGACCCTCAGCCTATACCAACCATTATTGCAAATAATCAAATAATAATTTCCTAAAACATCTAGGGATTGATTGAATAATAGTAAATTAATTGAATCATGAAGAATGTTACCATTTTCTTGAAATCAAGCTTGAACAAAATCCACAAATCAGAAATCTATAAAACAAATGAGGTGAAAACACTCACGGCGGCTACGGATTTGTTGCTAGGATGCTTCTCTTTGTACGTTTTCCTAAACTCCTCCCTAAAACATTTAAAAATATATTCATTGACGCAGAATATACAGATCTAACAACGATTTTCATGCGAGAGAAAGGAAAATAGATGATCATATGAAAACAAAGAAAGCACTAGCAGGCCTCTTCGGCTTGTTAGGGTCCTTGGCAGCCTTCCCCTTCTTCGCCGCTAGCTTTTTACCAGCCTTCTCGCTCGGAGCACCTCTCTTCACCGAAAGCCTAACAACAAAAAAATCGATCTTCAATACCAAAAAAACACACTTTGAATCACACGCATAATAGATCTCAGATCTAAAAACTCCAAAAACAACAAGGCAAACAAAACTTACTTGCTATCGGTCCTTTTGTTCTCCGTTTTCGATCTACCTCCTTTCATGGTGGAACCCTACAACCCTACAAGCAAGGCCATCGAAAGAGAAAGAAATGGGGGTTCGGTCGTCGTCTTTGGCAGAAGAGGGTCGTCGCCACTCTCTCTTCTCGACCTCGCCGTCGGTGAGAGACCATGGAGGGCTTAGCGATGATGATGATGATGATGATGATGATGATCAGAGACCCGAAGATCTTCTGGATTCGAGCTCTGAAAGTGTTGGGGATTTTGGGTTTGGGGTGGGAGGAAACCCGAGCGGGAATGGAAAAGGGGGGGGGGAGATTACAAATGAACTTTTTTTTTTTGATTTTCATTACAAATGAATATTTAAATAATAAAATGACTTTTTTTTTTTTTTTGCAACGGAGGATGCCGTTGCCAAAAAAAATTATTTTTTATTAAAATAATTTTTTTTTATAGTTAATGAATTTTTTTTTTCATTTAATAAGGTTAAAAATTTATTTGTTTCATATATTATTTTAATGAATAAAAAATTATTATTATTTTTTTATTTGGTAGAAGCAGGGATAATATTTTCTATTAAAATAAAGTTAATTTTTTGTGGTCAATAAATTTTTTTTTTGTGACCTATTTTTTTTTATTACTAAAAATCAAGAACTAATTTTTTGTGGTAGAGGATGGGAAGTGGCAGTAGTGGTGAAAGTGGTGGTGGTAGTGATGGTGAAGGAGATAAGTGGTGAAGTTGTGGTAGTTGTAGAGGAGATAGAATAGCGATTGTGGATAAGAGATAATGGTAGTAGTAGTGGTGGTAGTGGAGTGGTAGCGATGGTGGTAGTAATGATAGTTGTAGAGGTTGAGTGACAACAGTGGTAGTAGTGGAATTGCATTTGCAGTAGTGGTGAATGTGGTAGAGAAGATGGGTGGTGAGAGAGAGATGAGTGAGAGACAGATAGAGAAGAGAGATAGAGAGAAAGAGAGAGATAGACAGACAGACAAAGACAAAGTGATGAGTGAGAGAGAGACAAAGTGGTCGCTAAAAGTGCATTTTCTTATAGTGGAGAGCTCGGTAAATAGAGCAAGGTGAACACAATGGGGGAGAGAGACAAACAAACAGACAGACACATAGAGAGAGAGAGGAGAGTCAGAGACAGACAAACAGACATAGAGAGAGAAAGAGAGAGAGAATAGTGATAAGTGAGAGAGAGACAAAGAGAGAAAGAGATATATAGAGAGAGAGACATATAGAAAAACAGAGAGAAACAAGAGATGAGCGAGAGATAGACAAAGAGAGAGAGAGAGAGAAAGAGAACGAAAAGAGATGATTGAGAGAAAGACATAGAAAAAGAGAGAGACGAAGATAGAAGAAAGATGAACGAGAAAGACAGAGAGAGAGATAGAGAGAAGATAAATGAGCGAGAGAGAAGATAGATAGAGAGATAGGAGAGATAAAGAGAAGAGAGATGAGTGAGAGAGAAAGAGAGAAAGAGAAAGGGACAGAGATAGAGACAAAGACTAACAGACAGAGAAGAGTGATGAGTGAGAGAGAGAGGAGAGGTAATATTTTGCGGTAGAGGAGAGGAAGCGGCAGTAGTGGTGAAAGTGGTGGATAAGAGATGATGGTAGTGGTGGTGGTGGTGGTGATGACAAAAGAGATACATAGAGAAAGGGAGAGACAGACAGACAGACAGAGAAGAGTGATAAGTAAGAGAGAGAAAGAGAAGAGAGACAGAGACAGAGAGATAGGAAGATGAAAAAATAGGTGAAAAGAGAAATGTTCAAAAGAGTAAGACGATGTCGTTTATAGTGGATCGATAAATCGAGAAGGAGCTCGATAAATAGAGACGATAGGAGTAAGAGAGTGAGCAAGGCGAACATAGTGAGGGAGAAATAGACAAATAGACACAGAGAGAGAGAGAGAAGAGTGATGAGTGAGAGAGAGACATGGAGAGAGAGATAGACAGAAAAAGAGATAGAGAGAGAAAGAGAGAGAGAGATAGATGGAGAGATAGAAAAAGAGAGAGAAACAAGAGATGAGCGAGGGATAGACAAAAAAAGAGAGAAATAGAGAAAAAAGAGATGAGCGAGAGAGAGACACAGAAAAAGAGAGAGAAGAGAAATGGACGGGAGAGATAGAGAGAGATAGAAAGATAAGAGAGAGAGAGAGAAAAGAAATGAGAGAGATAGAGAGAAGAGAGATGAGAGATGAGCGAGAGAGACAGAGAGAGAAAACAGATGAGAGAGATAGAGAGAAGAGAGATAGGCGAGAGACACAGAGAGAAAATGAGAGAGAGAAACAGACAGACAGAGAAAGAAGAGTGGTGAGTGAAAGAGATAAAGAGAAGAGAGAGAGAGATAGAGACAGAGAGACAGGAAGATGAAAAAATGAATGAAAAGAGAAATGTTATATCAAAAGAGTAAGACGACATTGTTTTTTTTTATTTTTTTTTTTTGCGACAAAAAAATACCGTTGAATTTATTCAAACCATTTTGTGACTGTAAATATATGAAGCTGTCTCAAAACCACAATCACTATGCTAGATTAGAGTTTTCCAAAAACTCTTTTGAGAAAATTATACTTTCTTGTTTTCCGTGTTATATTCTTTTTACTGAATTTTTTTAATATTTTAAATATTTTTTTTTAAAATTTTTAGACACACCTAACATAAATACACCTAAAAATTAAAAAAATTGTAAAAAAAATCTTTTAAAAATTCACTAAATACTAAAAATACAATAATTCAATATATATATTTTTTGTATTTTTATGTATTTATTAATTTTTAAAAATATTTTTTCATAATTTTTTTTTTAGGATACATCTAAGTAAGGTGCATCTAAAAAAAATATTTAAAATTAAAAAAATATTCACTAAAAAAAAAAAACACAAGAGTATTTTTGCGACGGTAGAAAATGCCGTATCAAAAAAGTAAAGTATTTGCGATGGCACAATTTGCCGTCTCAAAAAATGAAAGTACTTGTGACGGCAGAAAATACCGTCGCAAATGCTCTGCTTTTTTGAGACGGCAAATGGTGCCGTCGCAAATACTCTGTTTTTTTGAGACAGCAAGTGTGCCGTCGCAAATAGTTCCGTCTCATAAACCCACTTTTCTTGTAGTGATACTTGTGATAGATCTTACGAACCCAACTAGATAAAACCAAACTTATCATCAACTAGGAATAATTATTCTGCCTCTCAAAATTTTTATGTTGATTGTTTCTCTAACTAATGGTAAGGGGGCTAAATGAATATATGACTTTAATTACAAGGAGATGACAGGTAAATTACAACATATCATTAGTATTATATATTTACACGTGATCTTCCTCCGCTTTTACAACATATCAATAGTAGAGGGGAAGACGGAATGGAGAGAGAGAGAGAGGGTCGATCGCCCCCTTTGCCTTCGCCTCCGCTTTTTTTTTTTTTTTTTTTAACCCGATTTTTTTTTTTTTTTTCAACCCGATTTTTTTTTTTCAGATCAATCATCGTTTTTTTTCCCTAGTGGATCTGGATCTGAAAATGTGCTGATGATGATGATGGTGATGGTGATGTTGTTGTTGATGATGAAGATGTTCTGGATCTGAAGATGAATTGTTGATATTTTTTTTTGGATCTGAAGATGAATGGTTGTTGATGAAGATCTGAAGATGAATGGCTTGTTGGGTGGTTGACGATGATGATTTTCTCTCTCTCTGCTACTCTCTTCTTCTTCTTTCTTCTTCTTTTTTTTTGATTTTTTTTCTGCCAGTTATTAAAAAAAAAATAAAAATAAAAATCAAAACAACGAAATGATGTCGTTTTGAATTTGGGCTAAATTCGAGCTCGGCAATTTCGAGCTACGTAACATAACTGTTTTTATTTTTTATTTTTATGTGTGGTTGAAATTCCGGCTTATTTCTTTGGCAAGATTGGCTGTCAGCCACTACTGCTATTAGGGCTTTGGGACCACTCATTTTTATTAGGCTTCTACATGGATTGTGTTGTTGCAAGTTGTCACCCCTCTCGAAATGTCCCATCATTGGATTATTATTTTTTAATGCTTCTTTTGGTGAAGATTTTACAGAAAAATAAAATGGATAAATTATAGTAATTTTTTAAAAATTATGACATATTTTTGGGTATTTGGAAAGAGTGGTGGGTTAAAATAACTTATTAAAAGACAAGATAAGTTAAAATAACTAATTAGATGAAATGTCACATTCAATCTATGATCATTTTTTTTTTCACAACTATCAAATTAATTACAAAAAAAGCCAATTAATTTCTCAAACACAACTATTTTAGCCAAATTAAAATAATTAAAAAGCACAATAGCCAACTTCCCAAACAATGCCTATATTTTGTCCTTCTAAATTTTAAAATTCAACTAATCTCTTCAAAATATTATCTTATTACAATTAATTATTTTTGTTAGGAATTTATAGAAAATCAGATCTTGTCTAAAGTACAGGACACATTTATTAATTTTTTTTTAAAATAATATCTTTATCTGGTGATCTTGTTTATACTTTGCTACTAAGATGAGAGACAAAGGGAAAATAAAATCACCAAATAAGAGTATTATTATCTTAAAACAATTAATAACGGGTATTATTGTAGAATCTCCCAACATAAAATATTAAATATGTTCATGTTTCTTTTCATTAAGAAAATAACACTCCTTGAGGTTTGTCTTTAATACAAGTACTCCCCTCACGTTTTGGAAATTACATCCTCCACTCTAAGGTTTAAACTTCCATTATAATTTAATCCTTCCATTAGTCAACCATTAAGCCAACTAACTGAAAAAGTTAATAAAATAAATTAATTTTTTTAAATGCCTATTTTACTCTTATTAAAAAAATACTTTAAAAAAAATTACTAGATGAGTAAATAAAATTTATAGAGAATCACAAAAATTCATTCTATGCATATATTATTATACTGTTAAACATTTAGGTAATGCTATGGTACACAAGATTTTGTGGTGTTAATTATCACAAATATTATAATTAGATCCGTTTCAATCATAGCTAAAAAAAAAAGTTATAGTCAAACACTGCATCAGGTATAACCATATACCTTTTGAATCATAATCAAAATAATGTTATAATCAATAATTATAACTAATACCATTATAGGTAATAATCAAAGACTATAATTGGGGCATATAAAATTTTTCTAAAC